GAGGAGCAGAATGTCTTGTTAGATCAGCTAATCTAATAAGCAGAGAAAGGGAATGTTATCATGAAATTATGGAATCACCTTCTGTTCCTATTTGCTGACATGAGAGAGCCCATCTAATTGGATTTGCTCTCTAGGGAAATCTCCAGGATCATTGCTGTCATATTTCCAATATGGTCGTTGTCCATATGCCCCTCTTAATTTTCTCCTTTGACTTCCACCCACTTTTAAAGTAGGCATACATCTTAGAGCACCTCAGTCAGCACCTTCTCAGTTTCACCCATGGCACTGGGTAAGAAGGAAATGGGATTCGTGTCACCCACAAGGGGAGGGGAGGGTCCTAGGCATAAAAGGACAGTGCCTATTTATTATCCATTAGTCCACTCAACACTTATTAGTCCAGCACTTAGCATAGCACCAATAGCAAATGTAGACATCTCTGAATTAGCTTGTAAAGTCTGGTACCAACACATAGCAATTAAGAGCACAAGTTCTAAGCCAAACCACCTAAGCACTGCCACTTACAGTGTGATGTCACCCAGGTCAGTTGACATCCCTGTGGCTAGCCCATAGAGAGACTATAAGGATTAAATGAGATATGAGAGGCTTAGCAAATGCTTGGCCCAGGGGAAATTCCCAGCCAATAATAACTAGCTGGGAAGGAAGAGGCTATGGCAGGCGCTCTGCAGAGCTGGGGGACACTATGGTGCACGCAGAGCTCTCTCATGACTTATATTCTTGAGGAGGGAGATGGACGAAGAAGTAAATAGATGAATAAGCTGAGTAGGAAGGCTGTGCAGGAAGCCAAGGTTCTCTATGGTGTCGGGTAGTAGGGATAAAAAGACCATCAGGGAAGGCCCTGCTAGGAAGATGGTATATAAACTAAGAATAGCACGATGAAGGGAGCCCAGTGCATGAAAAGCCCTGTGAAGAATATTCTAGGCACATGGCATGGCAAATGCAAAGGCCCTCATGAGAAAGGGTCTAGAATGTTCTAGAACCAGAGGCCATTGTTGAGTGGAGTAAGCATGAGCCAGAGGGAAAATTGCCGTGGTACAGAGGGAAGGTGGGCAGGAGGAGGCTGTGAGCACCTCAGAGGCCATGGGAAGGCATCCAAGTGTTGGATGCCAGCGATGGAGACTGAGAGCGATGAGAACTGGCCCTGAAGAAGTCAGAGCAGGGAGAAGGGCAGCCACGGAGCCCCCAGAGTGGGTTCTTCTACAAAGTGTGGCCTGTACCATGGCTGCCCCTGGAGTGGGCACTAGGGAAGCCCTGAGGGTGGATGCCAGAGCCTGGAGGGGGACTCCAAGTCATATCTTCTCGTTTCCCCATCTCTTCCTCAAATCTCCGTGTATTATGAGGCTCTGGAAGGCTGCATTTGCTCCTAGCTTGCAGCACTGGCTTCATGCTGGCTCCTCTCCCTTCCCCTTCAAAATGTCCCACAGGGATGGATGATATGTAGTGGCAAGAGGCAGCCCAGACTGCAAGAGAGAAACTCAGACAGGAGCTTGTCCCTGGGTCCACAGGCTCAGGGTGCACGCTGGGCCCCTGCTTCCCTCTTCCTGGGCAAGAGGAAGCATGCGCTAGTACTTGGGAACTTCTGGAGCTCAGAGTGTGACTGTGGTTGTACTTCTGCCTAACTTGCATGACATTTTGGTGACAAGGAAAAATAGTATTGCAACTGGGCATAGTGGGCACTTTTGTAATCCCAGCACTCTGGGAGGCTGGGGCAGGAGGAATGCAAGTTTGAGCCAAACCTGGACAATTTAACAATTTAGTGAGAGTGTCTCAAAATTAGAGATAAAAAGGAATAAAGATGTAGCTCAGTGTGAAGGTCCTGGGTTTGATCCCCAGTGCTACATACAGAAAAAAACATTGTTGTACTGAATCACATTTTTTAAAAAGTTATGTATTCAACCTTTTACTATGACTTCACACCAAAATTTCTCCATCTTCTAGTTTCTGACAGCTGTGTACCAAAATTTCCTCTCATCCCTTGCATTTGTGATGGATGGTCAGTCTCTCTCTCGTACACAGAAGGAATTTTCTCCTGGGACTTCATCTAAACTAGCTTTCAATCACACCTACTCAGAAGCCCTCAGATGGCATCTCTGTTCTACAGATTTCCACATGTGACTGCTCTAATATTAGGTGTTCGTATACATTGTTATTTCAAAAGAAGGACCTAACATTAAGATCTGAGTTACTAAATTATTGATAAAGTATAAGTAAAATTATGAATGAAAAGTAATGCAGTAGGTAGTAATGTAACTTAAGGTATATGAAAATTTTCTCCTTTCTCTGCTGTCTGGAGGCTTCTGAGACCATGGAAGCCATGATAGATCCTGCCTCAGTGGAGCAATAGGCTCTGCACATTCTCTGTGCTCTGGGCATCTTCCAGCCCTTTCCTCTTCAGCTTTGCTCCCTCTGTCCCCTCTCTGTCCTCATCTCATCAGTTTGGCCATTTCCGAAGATGTTATTGTCCTCATGTCACTATCTCTTGGTTTCCATTTCTATTTCTCTGTTTCTCTTGAAAAATCACCCTGCAGGAAGACCCATTCAGCTACCCACCTCCCTGCTCACTACAGCTCCCTTGTTAAGACGGCCAGTCTCCTCCGCTTTCCGAGAACCCTCTGTCGTGTGGACAGTGTCCACCCCTTCTCCAGGGCTCTGCCTCTCCCCACCTGCCCTGGCCACTCCCTCTTCTGACCATCCCGCAGGCCTGCAGTCCCCCTGGGAATAGACCTGCCCAGGGGAGCCCTGGGGCAGCTCAGGAAAGGGCACTTAGAAAACAGGGTTTTGCAAACCAGATGCTGCCAAGGATGCCAAACTTCTCCAGCATGATTTGCTTTTCCCAGAGTGAAAACTGAGGGGCACAGGAGAATCCATGTGCTTTGTCAGTGAGTGTGAAAGATTGTGTTTTATATTTTTGGCACACACTTCTCAAACACTCACTGTTAAGTATAGTACAACTCAGCCCCGCTGTAAGAGTCTAACTGATTTAAACCAGGCATGTCCTAAATATATTGAAATCTATATAAAACAGGGAGATTACCCTCTATTCTGAAGTTGGCTGAGAAGGTTGCTAAGAAAATCTGAGTTTGTAGGGAAAGTATTTCTTGTCCATTATGCTCACAGCATTCCTACTTTTAACCCTTCCTGCCATATTTATCAGGATCCTGACTACAAAACCCAACTTGAACCAGATGGAGCCAGAGAGGGATTTATTGAATAAGAAGAAAAGCTATATTGGGCACAGGGGCGCCTACAAACTCCTTCTTCCTTCCCTTCATTGCCACAGATGACAGCTTTGTGTCCCTCACCAGCATCCTTCCAAAGCAGGCAGAAGCCATCTCATAGCTATGTCGTGAGCCTAGAAAATGAGGAAAGGTCCCCTTCCCCAGAATTCCCAGCGACAGCATGTTATAGGGGAGATTTATGCTCATCTCTGGTCCAGAGTAGGGTGATGCCAGGGGTATAAAGAACATTCTCTGAAGACAGGAAAAGGAAGAGAGCACCATAACCTTCTACTGCACGTCCTACAAAGATCAGACCCCTTACTGCCCAGATAAATAAAAGTGTCATTCTGTGTAAAGCCCTTTTTGTCTTGCACCAACTTGGCTCCCCAGGTCACAGAGCCTCGGGTCTCCTGATCTGGCCGTTCTCTGCCTGGAACTCCCTTGTCTTCCTATTGTTTCTGTGCCCAGCCACCTTCCCCTCCATCTGCTGGGACCAGCTGTTGTTGGCTCCCTCTGTAAAACCTGCCCCTTCCAATGTGTATTAGTCGGCTTTCCCAGCACTGGCATAAAATATCTAGTACCAGAGTTAAAGGAGGAGAGGTTTAGGCCACATTAGAAACATCATAGAAGGGCATGGTAGAGCAAAGCTGCTCACTTCATGGTGGCTGGGAAGCAGACCACAGGGAGAGAACCAGCAAGAGGCACACCCTTGAAAAGATGCACCCCCAGTGACTCATCTCCTTCAACTGGGCACTTTTCAGCTACGGACATCGGTGGATTAATATGTTTAGAGCCCCCACGAGCCAATCACTCATCCAAGAGTCACTTAATCCAGTCTAACTAGATGGTACGTTGCAGTCTACCTACTGCATATCCTTCACCTAGGAAGACACAGTTACTATTTTGTGACAGCGCTCCCCACTCCACCAGTCTGCAGTGCCCTCAAGAGCAGGGGTCAGCCTTCTTTATTTTTGTATCCCAGCAGCTAAAAGCTAGTACGTAGTAGGTACACAGGAAATATTTCCTCTAGTTGGATTGAACAGTATAAAATAGTGCACACAGCTTAAGAAGTTGTGAACTAATTTAAAACCTAAATAGCCTATGCTTTGCTGGCCTCCGTGAAGACAATAGAGTGCATATGGTTTTGGTTAGGATAAACAGGAGGGTTTCCTCTCATTCAATTTATTTTAGGAATTCAATATTTCAGTGTATCCAAAATCATTTTTCTTCACTTCTTACCTGTATCACTGCTTTTAACATTTCATCTATGCTCCTGGCCTCTTCTGTGACATTTCAGTATTGACAGCTGGCTCCCTCACCCGCGGAGAAACAGCAGGGGATCTACTGTGGATCCCAAATTCTTTTTCCAGCAGGTGGCTTAGCCATTGATTGTACTCAGTGGAGTCTTGTGACTTCCAGGAGTATGTTTTCCCAACTCAGAAATCTGCCTGTGCTATTGTAGAAGAGTGTGCGAATGCATATGTGCCCACTTGCGTATACAAGTGTGGGTGCCCAGGTGTGTACATTGGAGGAAAAAGTTGGGAGGAGTTGGGGAGGCTGCACATATCTGACTCTCCCCTACATGAGCCTCCTTCAACTTCTCCCTAGATAACCTGAGCAGGTGAAAGCCTTCTGGGAGCCCTGTTATATCATCTGTAAAATGAAGAGGTCAGACTCTTGAAGCCGTGGGGCCTAGACCTTCACAGGCAACATATAGATGCAATTCTGTACTCACCTTGTTATGTTGTTTTTATGTTTCCACAGAGGTCTCATTGCCAGTGATTTCACCGAAACTCACTATCTGCAAGATGGTACTGATATCTCTCTCACTCGAAATTACACGGTAATTCTTGCACAATTGAATCAACATAATATGGTACTGTCTATCAAGTGTGTACTTAAACATTGTAGCCATTTTATTCCATGCAAAGTCAGGTGCCCAGGTTCCTAACACAGGCCCCAAGGAATGCATGCCCCATCTGTGGTGTTTAGGCATCCCACTGTTACTCCAGAAGCACTTGGCTTTGGCCAGGTATGTCAGGATGAGGCTCGAGGCAGGGCTGAGCTTGCAATTACCGTCCAAGGGTTATGGGATGCTCGTTTGGGAAAATCCATTTTAGAAAATCAAACCAAAGGTTGAGGTGGCCTGGAAAACATTTTTCATTCTGAAACCTTGAAGTACCTTAAGGATATTGAAAGGAAAACCAACACTCTTAATCAGTTAGAAATGTATCCACAACACTGATGTGATTCCATATCAAAACCATTAGTGTAGTATGACATTTATCATCACCTCCTATTCAGCTTATCTGATATCTGAACTTTTATATGTAATTTCCACAAAATCTCTATTTGTTCCTTTAGCAAACTTTTACTGTGTGTTTCTATGTGTGTATGTGACTCATGCGAATATGGAGATTCGAAGAGAACAGGTCAGAGTTGCTGCCCTCTGAGAACTAAGGTTACTTGTTTTAAAGAGCGAAGGGTGTTTGTTTTAAGAAGAATGAGCTTGGAGGCAGGCTGTGCAATATCACTGAGGAGGGGTCAAGCAGGCCTCGTTGTCTGCAGGGATCTCGGCCTTCTCCAGAGTACACAACACTTTTCTGTCACATGTTTGGCACCCAGCACTTACAAACTGATACTCCCTCGTCCAGGAGCATAGAGCTGAGCTGCTGGGGCTCTCCCAGTCCAAAGAAGACAAATAAAAATCTTGAACAAATATAAGCATATAGAAATTTTTGTGAATGCCTGGCCAAGTTGAAAAGGAGGGAAAACCCCTCCTTCCAAGCAGAAACAAAGGGGGACATTAGCCCACAGTATGGGCTGTGGGACCACAAAGGTTATTCAACACCCAGAGAAAAAGAGGGACAAGGGAAGAGGGTGCCTGCAATTGTAATCCTCCCTCAGAGAGCTGCTTCCCATATGAAAAAGAGGCAGGAAATCTCTCCCAATCCACAGGAGGTACAAGAAAGAATTGTCTGCCAGGTATCCTGGATTGAAAAAAGATTTTGCTGAAAAGAAAAAAACTGAAACCCTATCAAGCCTCATGAGTTTGTGTTGGGGATGGGCTGGGCCCATGTCCAAATTTGTAATACCATCATAAGAATGGAATTCCCAGTCAAGATATTGACCTCAAAACCAGTCCCAAATCAGTGACGTCCCCATGGGTCCAGGCTGAAGCCAACCCAAACTGGAGCCATACGGATAGTCTCACAAACCACATTACGTGAAATGCCCATGCGAAGAAAAAAAATAAAGGGGGATAATAAAACTATTAAAGATGAGCCCCAAGTAGTCAAAATTACAAACTAAACAAGGAACAAAGCCACTATAAGTGAGCCTCAGTAGACAAGAAACAAGAGTTAGTATTTCCAGGAATAACAGAAAACCAGAGGAAAAAAATTACAGAAAGCAGAATAGGTCTAACAGAAATTCTACAATTAAAATATATTTTTAAAAGTAGGAAAAAATCCTAGGGATTTTTTAGGAAAATGTGATGAGAGTGATCCTGAATTGAAGAAAGACATTAATCTTGAAGAAAATCTACCAAGTCCTAAGCAGAAAAAATAACAATAAACCCACTCCAAGACAGCATAAAGAGAAACTGCAGAACATCAGTGATGAAATCGTAAAACCATTGGAGACAAGAGAAATTTATACAAATAATGAGAGTTAAGCCAACAATAGATTTCTCATTAGTAACAATGGAATTAAAACTTCAGGGAACTGACAGAAAACTATTGCCACCTTCAATTTTATACTCAAATTATTTTATAAAAGTGAGTAAAATCAACATGTTCAATTACATGTCTGTGAAATTTACTATTCTCAGATTCTAAGAAAGAATATCTACTCAGGAATAAATAGTAAAAATATCTTAGCAAGAACAAAATTGAACAAAAGAGGCAAGGATAAGATGTCAGGAGCAATAAGAAGCAAAATAATAGCATGTGAGTAAATCTAAATAATCCATGGAAAATAATAATTACAACAATAGTGATTATATTTGGCTGATTTAAAACTAGATAAACAAATAGATTTAAAACAGTTTAATGATTTGTATTGTATGAAAGAATAATAGACATGCCAATTAGCTTTTGATAAATATACTTGCTGTAATTTTAAATATAACTATTTGAAGATTAGAAAAATAATTTTATTCCACATGATAGATAATAAATAAAAATGTCTCAACCCAGTAAAGGGTAAAAGAGAAAGAAAAGGATAAAAAATCAGAATAAATATAAAACACAAATGAGACAATATTAAGCACTAATTAATTTCATGTGTAGATCAAATTTGTTTATCAAAATAAAAAACAAAGTATCTGCTTGGAATTTAAAGTGAAATACAGGTGTATAATTTTTATATGCCTCATCCCCCAGCAAGTATAAAGTGGTTATGAAAATGAAGGAATGGAGACAAGAAAGGGTAGACAAATCTTAATCCAAAGAAAGATGCTGTATTCTTGTTCACAAGTTAGACCTTACCCCAAAAAAAGGCATTATCAGGGATCAAGAAGTCATTGCATAATGATAAGAGAAAAATTCAAAAGGAAAGAATTGTGAGACCATATGAACCAAAAAATAGTCTCAAAATATGCAAAGAGATAATTGGAAGGATAGAGAGGAAACTTTTAAATCAAATTATATTTTCATCTAGAAATAAGGCTTTAGCCCAGTGTTCTTAAAACCTAACAATCTATTAAAACTTAGGTTCAAATGTTATGTTGGATTTTAAAGGAAATTAAGAAGCAAAAAAAAAAAAAAGAAAGAAAAAAGATTTCTAACAACTAACAATTTCTCCTCAAGAGAAAACGTCCTAAATATGAAATAGATGCAACTTAATTCATAATGCAAAACTTTGGAAATGACATATTCACAACTCAAGTGGAAGGTTTAAACATACCTATCTTGGAATTAGAAAATTTTAAGTGATCAGAAATTAGTAAAAAGTAAGACAAAAAGAATCAAGAGAGAGGATCAATTCAACCAAAAACTGGTTATTTGAATATATTAATAAAATGGACAAAATGTTTTTAAAATTAATCACAAAAAATTACCAAGTAAGCAATGTAAAGAATGCAAAGAGGAAACAATTATTGACATACAGGCATTTTTTAAAAATCACATGACCATTATAAGCAATACTAACCATTTTCTTAAAATAATAGTAAGCATTGGTTCAAGATAAAAGAGAAAAATGTATTTTTAACCATTATTTTTATTCATAACCATAAACTTTTTATTCATAACCATAAACTTAACTCTGCAATCCAGCTACATTTGGAGGGGAGCAAGGAAAATATGGAACCCAAGGAACTGCAGTAAAAGCAGAGATGTTGGGGTGTTTTGAGCAGGTAGGGCACAGGGTGCTCTCCTGTGCTAGAGGAAGGCTCTGGTGGTGGCGATGCACATATGTCACCCACATTAGAGTTGTCCACAGTCAGTGGTGGTGATTGTTTCCTGGTTTTGCTGTTCCTTGACCTGAAGAGCTCCATGGACTTCAGAGTGTTCCTGTCTTCTTTCACCTTCCCAAAGACCATGTGCTTTGCGTCCAGCCTCTCGGCCTTACCAGTGCAGATGAAAAACTGGAAACCATTTGTGTTTGGTCCAGCATTCGCCCAGGACAGGATGCCAGGACCTGTGTGCTTCAGGATGTTCTCATCATCAAATTTCTCCCCATAGATGAACTTACCGCCAGCGCCACTGTGGTGTGTGAAGTCACTACCCTGGCACGTAAATCCTAGAATAATTCTGTGAAAGCAGGAACCCTTATAACCGAATCCTTCCTCTCCGGTACTCGGAGCACAAAACTTTCTGATGTCTTTGGAACTTTGTCTGCAAACAGCTCGAAGGAGATGCAGCCCAAGAGCTCACAGTCTGCGGCAAGGTGGAAGAACACAGTGAGGTTGACCATGGTCAGGCAAGAACTACTAGAGAGGGGACAGCAGCATCTGTAAAACCAAAAGAGAAGCATTTAAATACAACTGTACACAGAGAGCAAATCAAAACAAGTATTTTAAGTTTTTATTCACAAAAATTACATTAGGCTCCAATTATTTTGCAAGGTGGATTTTACCAAACTTGTAAGGAATAAATGGTTCCTGAGAATAGGAAACAATTTTCAGGGAGGTGAGGAGCTACCAAAACCAAAGAAAGAGCACACACAAAAGAAATATTATAGACTAGTTTCAATAATGAAGATAGTTATAAGAATCCTAAGTAAAATATTTATAAACTCTATCCATAATAATTTAAAAGTTCTTTATGAGGAATGCAAGGATAGCTCAACATTGGCCTATCAAATAATGTAATTCGATACATTTAAAGTTTCAGATAAAAAGTGTAGTATAATAGATATTATTTTTCCATTATAATCTCTATGCTCTTTCTTGAGCAGATCATGATAACTCATCTGGGTGAGGAATGTTTCTAGTATCCCTACTCTGCCTCTGTAGAATCTCACATAACATCCTGCATATACTAGGTTTTCAAACACTGACTGGTCTGACCATTACAGCATCTCAGGTAAGACTGTCCAGAATTTCTCTATTCATACGTATTCATCCACTCAGGGTTGGATGAGGTTGAGTACAACGATCATCAGCTTATAAATCCTACTAGAAGCAGAGCATTTGGACACAAAAAGATAAATATTTGTTAATATAATTGCTGTAAGAAGCACAAAGTACTATTTAGCTTTTACTCTTTGGAGCCAGTTAATAGTTTTCTGTTTCAATTGCCTTACTAATTTTCTTTTTCTTGGGCATTTTTCCCTTTTTTCTCATTTGGAAGGGATAATGCAGTAAAAATGAAAAAGAAGCAGAAATACAAGACTAGA